AAGTGGAAAGGATTATTCTTACATTGATTGGGTTGCCTTTTGATGAAATGTGATGATGTATGTAAAGCCCTTTGTAGCAGGCCTACCATGTAATAACAAACCCTAAACAATGCCAGCTACTGGCATTCTTTCCCAGCCCTGCTACTCCATAGCTACAAAACCCTGCTCAGCCACTCTAGCTACTTGCCAAACCCAACATGTCTAGCAATGGGAATATCAGGAGACCAGCAGCAAACAGAATCTAAAATTAAGTGAAGGCCTAACCTGGCATCCCATATAAGATGCCATATTACATATCGGGAAAGCTTAATCTCACTGGCACTTAGAGGATGACCAAAGACTGCGCAGTCAAAAATATAACCTTGAAAAATTATCCCCAGGTCTTTTATCCTGAATGGTGTCATCATTTTGCATGTTGAGATTTCAAGGTGATACATCCTTGGTCTGTGGACTCCATAGGAAAAATAATAATGAGAAATATCCAAGAAAGGTCTAAAATCGATGTGTGGGAGATGAATGAATATTCACTGCTCAAGCATTTGTCCCCATGACATTCACATGTTCATTGGTTTTCTGATTACTAACTTTGCCAATGCATTTGACCTAGTTCTTCAGTTGCCACCAAAGATGGTTGCCTTCTCCATCTCTCTCCCCTCCCGAACCTCCTTCATTTTCTACTATTTTTCTACCTTAATCTTAAACATGGTATGAATCCTAGGAATCTCACAAAATGAAATATCTATAGGAATTATTCCTAATCTTGCATGCAAAATAGAGTCTCAACACTACTTCAATTTAACCTCCATAAACTGAATATGTTTCCCTGAACCTGGTTTTTCTTATGAATTCCTTTCTTTTTCTTTAACTTTCTTCATTAGCAATACCCTTACTCTCCCAGACTCACAAATTCAAAACCTGTATCAATTGATCTTCTCTGCTTCTATTCATTCCATATAAAATTACTCTTTGAATACTATTTACTGTCTTTGCAGACTCACTCAATGCCTGCTTCTTCCCCATTACTAGAGTTCCCATATTAGGCCCGGATAAACTTATTATTAGATTATTTCAATATCTACTATCTAGTCTTCTTGCCTAAATATCTCCTCTCCTTAAACTGATGGAAACAAACACACTTAAAATACAATTTTTTCCCAATAGTTCTTTATTTTCTGAAAAATAAAACCCCAAGTCTTTAATTTAGCTTTATAATCTAGGCCTAAATTTTTAATTATTTAGCGTTTTTACCTTCTTAATTTATGAAATTGGTCTGTACATTTCTCTAAATGGCCTTTATTTTTTCAACTCCATTTGCTCTAAACAATTCTCCAAAATATAACTCTGTTTCCCCTCATCAGAATCGTAATCATTCTTTAAGATTTGGCCCCAGTCTCATTTCTTTCCCATGTAATGCCCTTCTGAACCTAAGATTTCATCCATTCTAACCTTTCAACATGTCAATGAATAGTGTACATCTCCAATGCAGGTATTTTTCCATCCTCAGCTATAAATGGAGTCTGTGATTATTTTTAGTTATTTATTTTGTATTTTGCTTCTAGAATGTCTATATAGTTAATTACAGAGACTCTTACTCAGCATCTGTAAATATCTAACACAACATGTTATATTTAATAGACTAAATAAATCTTTGTTGCTTTTATAAGGCATTTTTGTTCCTGATTATAAGCCTGCTTTTTTTGTAAGCCTATTCAGAAAGATCTGCCTACTTTTCGATTTTCTCCTTCTCCCCTACCTCTTACGTGCTTGAAATGAGTGATGATACTTGTCTTCAGCATAAATAGGCAGCATAATAATTAACCTTTCCCTGTTGATTACGCTTCATTTAGAACTGTCTGCCTACTGGCCCCCTCAGCACCACTTCTCCCCAGTGGTTGTTAGCATCAGATCAACATTGCTTAGGGCAGCAAGCCATCTAATGGGCAGGGCTGTTTGCTGCCATGTGTTCACATCAGTCTCAAAATGAAGTTTGCCACAAAGGGTGTTCTACATCCATGATTAATGACCTACTAGATAAGAAATGAATATTATGCAAAGGCTTAATATAACACAGTTAATAGTACTGGTAACAAAATAAAAGTAAGACACAGATGGTATAGATCTGGTCTTTTATTTTTCAACATGAAACATAGAAGTCATTCTCCTGGTTTGTATAGTCTTTATAGATATGATCATACTCAACATTTTCTTTTTACTTTTATTAAAGTAATCATCACTGGAAGAAACAAAACTCAATTTATGATGTGAAAGAATAAACATACACATAAATATAATCAATAGATACACACACACAAATGGAACTTTCTATTGTGCGTCCATAGAACAATGAGATAATTTAAACATGGTTCTATACATGCGTAGCTGATTTTAAATTACAAGGTACTAATATTGCTACACAGGATGCCCACTAATTCAACCTAAAAATTAAATCCTTGTTTCTATCTAATATCTGTAATTTCATGGGTTATTACTTGTATACAAGGGGAGTGCAAACTATTTGATTCTAATATACATGAACTTCAAAGCATCAAGAACTGTAAAGTTTCATTTTAACCTGTTAAAATTTTACTGTAAACTTTATATCAGTGTATATTTTATCAAAATATATTTATTTTCCTCTTACATCCTACTAGTATATCAGAATCAGCTGGAAATGGATGGAAGAGTATGATACCCATAATTTATAAATTGTATTTGCCATTTAAAATTTTAATGAAGTGTTCTGGCAAAAATCTCAATGCATTATATTCATTCCTATATTGATAAAGAAATATGTCTCTTCCTGTTTCTCTTCTTTTATCTGCTAGCATGTATTTCTGAAAGAACTGCAAATACCACATATTATTTAAAGCTATAAAGCTGCCATAGTGTTGAGACCCAAAAAACAAACCACAAAATATCAGATTTATTCCATTACAAAATACAATATAATATGGCAGATAATGCCATATTACAAAATTTATGTAAATTTTCCCTGAGACTTAGAATTTTACCTCTAGATCCATGGAAGCATCTAAATTATATAACTGAATTACTTAAAACTCACTTTTGTCTCACCATAAGATTCTTGTTCACTCTACAATTAAATGTGACACTATAACATAAACCAGGAACAATACATCAATAGTTAACTTTAAATAATATATATATATATATGTATATGTATATATATATATATATATATATGTATATATATATGTGTGTATATATATATATATATATATATATATAAAAGACACGTACAGAATTAAAAATAATGCAATTTTAACCAAGCTTAGATATTTGAAGGCAAATGATCTTCTGACACCAATGCAATAAAAATAGAAATGGCCCATTTTATTGTAGCTATAATAAAGTAGTTGGAAACAGACTAATGATCTTGCCATGAACAACTACTAATATAAGAGCTGGATAAAAATACAAATTAAACTCCTAATTGGAGGCCTCTGAAGATCACCAAAGCAGCAAAGACTTAAGCAATAAAGATCTTAGAGAATATCAAAATGCACTGAACCAAACAGGATCTTCTGCCTACCTTTTTCTCATAGCACATTACCACTTTGCAGAATAAAGCTCAGAGGCCTCGTAGAAACTAAATGTAAGTGTCTAAAGAGTTAAGCAGAGATTTCAGCAGTTTAACACTGCTAGGAAGACACAATTTCAAGTTCAGGTCTTAGTAACAAAGGAAAGCCTAGGTGGACATCATCCCGATTTCTCAGTTGAGACCTTTAAGGGGGCCCGGCTTATGCACAAGAGCAAACACAAAGTAAAAGAACTGTACCAGAGTCAAGACCATCTGCTATAATTTATCTACCCACTAGGACAAAAAACATTAAAAATTTCTTTGGACAAAGCTAATACCATCCCAGCCTCTATAAATAAAAGGTTCAGTATTCAAACAATGTTTTCCAGGACTGTCTGTAAATAACACCCATGTAATACAAACCAATTGACAAATACACACATACACACACACACACACACACACACACAAACACACCCAGATATCATTAGATACTATAATTAGATTAGATTAGAAATGCTATTATCTAGTATTAGAGCTACTAGATTAATAATGATATTATTATTAGAGTTATCAGGGACATATTTTAAAATAAATTTTAACATGTTTAAGAAAATAGGTGGCAAAACAAAATTTTCATCAGAGAAATGAAATCTCTATGTATAAAATAAAAATTTTAATATTGATAAAAAACAACCGATGTCAATAATTTAATAGATGGTTTTAACTGTAGTTTCAAAACAATAGAAGAGAGAATTAACCTAGTCATTCTACTAACCAGAATGTAGATTAAAGTGAAGCAATGTAGAAAATAGAAAAATCAGTTTATATTTTTATAAAATTCAAACAACAAAGAAAAAACTCATAATAGGAAACAGATATCTTTAACTGAGTAATAAAATTGTGAAATATTAAAGATGTAGAATTTAGTAAAGTTGTGCTGAAAGCAAAATAAAAAGCCTCAAATATGAATTCAGAAAGGCAAACAATCAATGACAGAACTTTACAACTTAAACAACTATCAAATTAAACTCAAAGGAAGTAGAAGGAAATAATAAAAAGAAAAAGAAATCAATTGAACACACAATAAGTATACATTTGAAAAAAATTTAAAGTCAAGAGATTTCTTTGAAAATATTAAAACAAATAATGAATTACTAGAAAATTGACTTCAAAAAGTCAGAGAAGACTTAAATTGCCAACGTATAAAATGGAAAAAATCACTCAAAATGTTAAAAACATTAAAAATTAGTATTATGAATAATTGAATGCCAAAATAGTTAAAGATTAAAAATGAAGAAGAGAATCATTATGCAACAACTTAATTTAGAACTTTCTGAAAATTCTGACTTTACCTATTGTTATGATTTTTCTTCTTAATAGGTCATTTGATATAAACAGGATTGTCTGGTGAGTATTATTCTACACTGTTAAATGGTATTTTAAATTTTATACTCACCATGGTGGAATAAATTGGAAGCTCCTTGAATGGATTAACAAGTAAGAGGATGTCCCCAATGAAAGTCTGTTAAAGGAAAAAGATATAAATAGTGTTTGACCCATATAAATAGCACATTTAAAGTTAAAAATCACTCTACAATATGAAGAATAAGGAAAAACTATGCTCTTAACATTTTGTCAATTGTTTAACTTTATAAATAAAGAAATAGACAAGTGAAATTCAAATAAAATCAAGCTAATATATTTGTTCCACTGAACACACAAATAAAGGTGACATAATTGGATTCTGAGAACTAATCTTAAAGTGTTTTTATGAGAACCAGACTGGATAAAAAAAATATAAAATTAAAAGACATAGCAAAATATAATGGAAGAAGTAAACGGGGTAGTAATGAGTTCTATGTTGCTATAGAATAATAATAAAATGCATAACTGAGAAGTTGATAAAGGAAATGAAGATACCTTTAACTAAAAGGACAACTAATGAGATATAAAGGCACATAAAACAGATGGAACAAATAGATAACAAATAATAAATTATAGATTTAAAACCAAATACATCAGTACTTGCATCAAATGTAAAGCTACTAAATACTCTCAATTTTAAAAAAAAAAGGTTATAAACTGGATTAAAATACTGTGTGCTACTCTAAAGAGAAAACACTTTACATATAAAGCATAATACATTTAAAAGTTAAAGTATGGCCGAAACCGGTTTGGCTCAGTGGATAGAGCGTCGGTCTGTGGACTGAAAGGTCCCAGGTTCGATTCCGGTCAAGGGCATGTACCTGGGTTGCGGGCACATACCCAGTAGGAGATGTGCAGGAGGCAGCTGATCGATGTTTCTCTCTCATCGATGTTTCTAACTCTCTATCTCTCTCCCTTCCTCTCTGTAAAAAATCAATAAAATATATATAAAAAAAAAAGTTAAAGTATGAAGCAAAATATCCATTCAAACAATAACAGCAAAAAAAGTGGTTTAGCAACACTCAATTAATAGAAAATATACTTTGAGGTAAGAACCAGTACCAGTGATAAAAAGGGACATTTCACAATGATAAAATAAAGCAATCAGGAAGATATGCAAGTCTAAATTTCTATGAGATTGAAATCAAGGATAAAATATCTGAAGCAGCAACAGCTGTTAGAAGAAAAACATGAATTCACAATGATAGTGAGGAATTTTAACAGGTTTTTTTTCTTAGTAACTCACAAATAAGCAGACAAATTTTTGAAATAAATAATCAGCAAGTTGACCAATTGAATAATGTTACCAGAAACTGCATAAACTAGTTTCATTACATTTAAAAGACTTGAGTCACACAGAGTATATTCTCTGATCATGGTAAAATTAAGACAGAAATTAATAATGGATACCTATAAAATCAGCAGACATCTATAAGAGAAATACATAAAATACCTTTCCACAAAGAAAACTTAGACTTCTCTCTCTGGTGAATTCTTCCCAACATTGAAGTACAAAAATAAACAAATCTTATACAAATAATTCAAGAAAATAACAGGAGAAAAAACATTTCACTTTAAGAGGCCTGCATAAGCTTGATATTAAAAACATAACTAGTAAATTGAAAGAAAAAATACAGGCTATTCTCTCTCATTAAAATACATGCAAAAATTCTGAGCAAAATATTGACAAACTGAATTGCAATAATGCATTCAACAGATAATAGATTTCAACCAAATAAACTTTATTCTAGTAATGTAATGTTGGCTTCACATTAGAAGATCAACTCATATTACTAAGAAGTAAAGAACAAAAGTCACATGATGGTCTCACTAAATGCTGAAAAAAAAACTTTAAATACATTTAATGTCCACTTTTGATTTAAAAACAATAACTATGAAACCTATTAATTCAATAGATCTTTCTTAATCAAATAAAAAGTAACTACACATGGCATCGCTACCACAAACAACATGCTGAATGATAAAATATTGAGACCTTTTTCTCCTGGATAAAAAAATGAGACAGTTCTAGGTACAGTGGGGCCTTGACTTACGATTTTAATTCATTCCATGACGGAGGTCATAACTCAAATTACTCGTATGTCAAATCTTAAAGTGAACGAGTGAGACATGTGATGCTGGGCTGATGTTGTGGCATTCACTGTGACATTCACTACGCCAACTAGCGGTGGGGTATCTGAAGCTGGCTTGTAACCTGAATTTTAGCTCGCAACTCAAAGCAAAAAATCGGCCGAGAGACGGCAAACTTGTTCGTCGGGACACTTGTAAGTCAAGGCCCCACTGTAAATGCCCCACAGAAATACTTATCTATGTGTGCCTCCAAAAAGACATAAGATAGTTTATAACAGTGTTATTTACTAGAGGCCCAGTGCACAAATTCATGCACGGTGGGGTCCCTCGGGCTGGCCGGCAATTGAATCCTATCTTGGCGGGCTGGCCAACAGGGGGAGGGGCCGCAGGAGGTTGGCAGACTGAGTCCCCCATCAGGGCCAATGGGGGAGTGGCTAGGGGGCGAGGGGAGGGGCCACGGGAGGTTGGCTGTGGGAGCGCACTGACCATCAGGGGGTATCTCCTGCATTGAGCGTCTGCCCCATGGTGGTCAGTGTGCATCATAGCAACTGGTCGACCAGTTGTAACAGTCACTTAGGATTTTACATATATATAACCCTAATATGCAAATAGACTGAACGGCAGAACAACCAAACAACAGGTCACTATGACGTGCACTGACCACCAGGGGGCACACACGGAACATGGTGGGCGTCCACAGCAGGCAGCAGAGAACGGAATTTGGTGGACGTCAGCCATGGCTGGATGGTGGAGCAGGTGAGCGGAGGTGCCAGATCAAGGCAGGGTGCTGGTCACTGTCATTGGGGCAAACCTCTGATGGTTACTCAAAATTCTTTGCTCCCACATGTCGCAGTCCCACCCGGCGCTTGTACCTGCTGCTGGTGCCAGCCCCGTTCGCACCCACTGCCTGCGCCAGAGCCGCCACTCACACCCGCTGCCAGCACCCGGTGCCAGCCCGGATCGCTCAGTGCTGTCAGTGGGCGCAAGCAGCGGCTGCTGGCCCTGATTGCCCCTGAAGGATTCTCCACCTCCCCTGCTCCTGAGAGGGGATCAGGCAGCAGGCATTGCTGCGCCAGCCCCGCTCGCACTTGCTGCTGGCACCGGCCCCAATCACTCTGCGCCCTCAGCAGGTGTGAGTGATGCCAGCACTGTCAGCATGTGGGAGCAGCAGCGGCAGGAGTGGGGTTGCAGGCAGACAGGGGACTGGTGGCCAAGGCAGGATGGGCCAGGCAGGGGCGCAGAAGATGGGCCGAGACCTGCCCCTGTGCCCACTGAAGCCTCGCAATTCACAGTTCCTTTCAAAGTGCACGAATTCATGTACTGAGCCACTAGTATATAGATAATAACAAAAAAGTGAAAATGACTCAAAGGTTCCTCAACTGTAGAGTCAATTAATAAATTAGGATATAATCACATAATAGTTTATTGTATAGGAATAAAAGTGGATAAGTAGTGTTACAAGGAACAGTATAAATACAAGAAACAAAATGATAAATAAAAGAAGAAAAACACAAAAGATAATACAGACAGTCCTTGGGTTATGTCAAACTCAATGTACGTAGTTTCATGGTTATGTCGCCATCTCCCATCCTATCTAATAATAGAGAAACATGGTAATTAGCCGTACCTCTGCTACCCTTACCATTGGCTAATCAGGGAGATATGCAAATTAACTGCCAACCAAGATGGCGGCCGGTAGCCAGGCAGCTTGAAGAGAACAGGAGGCTTGCTTGCTTCAGTGACGGAGGAAGCCAACGTTCCCCGCCTGCCTTGCCAGCCTCTGAGCTTGCAGTTTGAAACATTGTTACAAATATAGAAGCTAAACAAAACCCCAGAAACCTGCTTTCAGCCAGCCGGGCTTCAGCCAGCAGGACAGCACCATTGTTTCAATTATAGAACAAACGCAGATCCCTGCTTTCAGCCAGCCAGGATCTCAGAGCTGGAGTGAGAAGGACCACAACAGTGTTACAATTATAGAACCCAAACAAACCAGATACCTGCTTTCAGCAGCCGAGGCCTCAGAGCTGGAGCCAAGCCTCAGAGTTAAAGCTGGCCCAGAATAAAAAAAATTTAAAAAAAGGACAGGTTGGGAGCTTCAGTCACCCGCCAGCCTGAAAATGGCCCTCAGCCCCTCACCCAGACTGGCCAGGCACCCCAGTGGGAACCCCCACCCTGAAGCGGGTGTGACCAGCTGCAAACAGCCATCATCCCCTCACCCAGGCTGGCCAGGCACCCCAGTGGGTACCCCCACCCTGATCCAGGACACCCTTCAGGGAAAACCAGCCGGCCCCCACCCATGCACCAGGCCTCTAACCTATATAGTAAAAGGGTAATATGCCTCCCAGCACCGGAATCAGAGGAGCAGCGAGGCCCCCCAGCACCAGGATCAGCAGAGCCGCGAGGCCTCCCGGCACCGGGATCAGTGTGACAAGGGGCAGCGGCCAAACCCCCTGATCGCCCTGCAGCTCTGTGTGTGACAGGGGGAGGGGCCACAACCCCCTGATTGGCCCTGCTCTGTGTGTGACAGGATGCAGCGCCCCAACCCCCTGATTGGCCTTGCTCTGTGCCTGATAGGGGGGAGCTCCCCAACCCCATGATCGCCCTGTGGCTCTGTGTGTGACAGGGTGCAGCGCCCCAACGCCCCCCCCCATGGGTACTGCTCTGTCTGTGACAGGGTGCGGCGCCCCAACCCCCTGATCAGCCCTGCTCTGTGTGTGACGGGGTAGAGCCATAACCTCCCCATTGGCCCTGCTCTGTGGGTGATAGAGGGCGGTGTCCCAACCCCCTGATCTGCCCTGTTCTGTGTGTGACAGCGGGCGGTGCCCCAACTCCCCTATCGGCCCAACTCTGTGTGTGACAGGGGGGAGCTCTCCAACCCCCTGATCGGCCCTGCTCTGTGTGTGACAGGGTACGGAGCCCCAACCCCCCTGATGGGCCCTGCTCTGTGCGTGACAGGGGGTGGCACCGCAACCTCTCCATCGACCCTGCCTTGAGTGTGACAGGGGGCGGTGCCCCAACCCCCAATCAGCCCTACCCTGAGCGTGACTAGGGGTGGCATTGCAACCTCCTGATCCGTCCTGTTTTGTGCATAACAGGGGGTGGTGCCCCAACTCCCCAATCGGCCCTGCTCTGAGCCCGACCAGGGGCTGCACCTAGGGATTGGGCCTGCCCTCTGCCACCCGGGAGCAGGCCTAAGCCAGCAGGTCATTATCTCCCAAGGGGTCCTAGACTGCGAGGGGGCACAGGCCGGGCTGAGGGAGCTCCTCTCCCCCCCGAGTGCACAAATTTTTGTGCACCAGGCCTCTAGTTTATTTATAAAAAAAAAAAAGTTCCATCATTTCCACATATGTACATATGAGCTTTATATTTTTTATTATTTATTTACCACAAGTAATGGTCAGGAATTGTTATCTTTCTTTTGATTTTTTTTTTACTGTTTCACTTCATTACTGCTGTGTATGTGCTCCATGTGAGTGATGTAGGTGCTTACTTAGGTGGGTTCCGACTTACAGCGAAAATCACATTACGTAGAGCCGTAGGAACGGATCTCCAATGTAACCCAAGGACCTACTGATGATTGATGATTTCTTTTATGTAAAATTAAGAAAACAGACAAAACTATTTGCTAGCCCAACATGTCAGAAACTTTTGTGATGATCAGGGTGGCTTGGGGAAGGGGCTTCTTATATTACATTTCTTTATGAAACTGCTGATCATACATGTGCATTCAACAAATAAAAATTCATGTAGCTATACACTAATAAATTGTGCATTATTCCCTTTATATGTTGTAATTCAATACAAAATTTACTTAAAAGGATTGGTGAGAATTTTATAGCCTAGTAAAGAAGAAAAGAAATGAAAGTGAAATAAATGAGCTGAAAGGAGACCTTATTCATTTAGTATCTCAAAATTAGTCTTATTCCATAGAATAAAAATGAAACTAGAAAGTAGACTGAGGGATAACTGAGAAATCTGTTAGTTAAGGAAGATAAAAAATTTTTTTAAATAAAATTAAAATAGAGTAACTCCAACCTGCATTTTCCTATTATAAGATAAAACCTGTTTATTTTGGTCTAATTACTAAAGAAAATTGAGATTGCCTTTGATAATATATTTTTGATGAATAAAAAATAATTTATGAAAATGTGATCTGAATGTTAATGGTAGTCATAAAAATGATTTCATATAGGTTTATACCATAATCTGAAGAGGCCATTTTGATAAAATGGAAAATTTTAAATTTACTGCAGAAAAATAAGTTTTAAAATTACAGAAATGTAAAGATTTCCCTTACCTCATTTTTCTAATACATTACTTTTTTAATAACTTACACATGTCAAGTGTTCAAACGCATTTTTTAGGCTGAATGGAATCACATGCAACTATATGGCAGACACTGCACAGCATAGCATTCTGTAGTGAGACTTTAAATAACTAGGCTAGCTTGGAAAAGATGTGTCCATCAACATAATTTCAAATAACCTGGAAGTGAGGGAGACTTCAACTTCTGACAGCAGCTGGTGAACTCCCACCTCTGGAGATGCTCTTAAAAAGAAGACCTGCTGCCTCGAAGTAGGCCACCGTGAAGGGAACAGTAAGTTATTAAGTGGCTGAGATGAGCCAGGCTCTAGACTTGGCTAATGAGATGTTACAGAATTTATTTTTGTTTTGTAGAGTTTCTTTTCTTTATGAGTCTCAAGTTCCACTAGTGTGTTTGTGAAGAGAGTATCGCTTGCATACTTATCAGCCATCCATGAAGAGATGTGATTGCATCTTCTATTCTCTCTGTGACTGTTGACAATAATTGTTTGGGAAATGCAATGCCTTTACTCTATGCATTTCCCAGCAAGCAGATGTCTCATCCTCTGCAATTCATTTTCTGTTTGATGATGTGAGAACTTCCTACTGCTAGAGACTGTATGGAAACTACCCAATTTGATAGCTAAATGAAATGCTGTACACTTAGTTAAAAGAGCAATTTACAGATTATTTTGAAAGATCATCTTATATAACAAATCAGACTATTGCCCCCCCCCCAAAAAAAAGGATGAAAATCCTTGTCAAGCAATTAACTCAGATGAAATATTTTATCTTGGCTCTGATGGGCCAGTGGCAGAAGTGGAAGTCATGTTCTGTGTATATTTTGAAGAAAGTGCTGATGATATTTGCAGTAAAATCAGATATGGGATATGGAAGAAAAACACACATTAATACTTTTACCAGCACTTTGGCCTGAAAGATGGAAGAAAGGGGATGCCATTAATTGTGCTGCGAGAAGCTACAAAAGGGACATGTTAGGAGGGTGTGTCAAGATCAGACTCTGGAATTTGAATATTTGAATTTTGAGTCATCTATTAAACTAGTGCCTTTATATTTGTGGGAAAGAAACACTGGTTTTTATTTCCAATTCCTCATGGACCAATACTTTTGTAAAACATAATAAAGATGAATTCCTGGACAAATGAAATTGAAAAAGACAAAGACATACAAAATAAAAACTTGATTCTTATTAGATTCAAAAGAAGGAAATTAAACCATCAAATTGCTATGAGCTTCTAAATGCTTACTCTCATTGAAGATTGCTAATAAAGGTCCATCCAATGGTGCATAGGATACACTTTGAGAATCACTTATTACCATTCAATCAATAATGTTTAAATTGCTTGTCTATCCATGAGGGTGAATTCAAACCATAACAAAGAACGCTCATCACAAAACTGTTCCTAGACAATTTAGCTCTTCAATATTTCAAGTACAGAAAATAGGAAACCCATGCCTCACACAGTGGCAAATTTATATTTTATGTGAACTTTAGCAAATCAGGGGACATTAATTCTGATTTTCCAGAGAGCAGAGAGTATCTATGAAGATGGTCCACTGTGTGGAGGAATTAGAGCCATGACTCAGATAAACAGGTAGGAAGTATTTGTTATTTAAGATTAGAACATGATTGGTTAAGACTCTTTTTAAAAAATATATTTTTATTGATTTCAGAAAAGAAGGGAGAGGGAGAGATAGAAACATCAATGATGAGAGAGAATCATTGATTGGCTGCCTCCTGCACTCCCCACATTGGGGATCGAGCCCTCAACTCTGGCATGTGCCCTTGACTGGAATCAAACCCAGGACCCTTCAGACTACAGCAGTGGTTCTCAACCTTCCTAATGCCATGACCCTTTAATACAGTTCCTCATGTTGTGGTGACCCCCAATTTTATTGTTACAAATTGAACATAATTAAAGCATAGTGATTAATCACAAAAACAATATGTATTTATATATGTGTTTTCCGATGGTCTTAGGCGACCCCTGTGAAAAGGTCATTCAACCCCCAAAGGGGTTGCGATCCACAGGTTGAGAACCACTGGTCTACAGGCTGACACTCTATCCACTGAGCCAAAACAGCAAGGGCAATAAAGACATTTCTTAAAAGAAATTCAGCCATTGAGGTTTCAATGCATTCCTAAAGGTTTATAGAAAAGAAAAAAAAAAAGAAAGAATTTGAGCAGTGGTCATCTGATATTACTAAGAAGCTAAAAACAAGAATCAACACAATGATAGGGAAAGAGAATAAAATGGAATAAAAATATTACACAAGTAACGGTAATAACAGACCAACATAATCGGTTTTCTCCACTTTATGCCAATGACTCAATTCCATTAATTTTAAAAGAGGTATTTAATTCTAAGTGTATTTACAGTGGCAGGCAATTTATCCAAGCATTAAAATGCTGCATTGAATTTTCATAAGCTAATCAGCACCTGAGAATTGATGACTTATAAGGGAATCACAGACTTCATATTTCCATGAAAATTACTTAATCAATTTCTCAGCAGACTAGAAAAAAAGGATGTTGTCAAAAAGAGATAGCAGACGTGTGTATAATCAGATTTCACTATAGATATTCTGATTGAATTGCTCTGAGTTGAATATAACAAAATCAAGGAGAGAGAGAAAGAGATTAAGATATGAGATCACATGGTGTCTAAATTATTACTAGTATTGGTAGAATTCACACATATAAAGCAAGGAAGAACCACAGCAAATAAATTCTCCATGCTGTTTGTCATCTGAGCCATATATTTATATCCTATTATCAAATATCCCTGTATACATTATTTACTTTACAAAGATATTTCCTGATAATTTAGAGGAACAATAGCTTATCATTTCATGCAAATAGGGAGGCCGTTTTCCTTGCATAATTAACTTCTCGTCTTTAGTTTCCCTTTTCCAGATGTAGAAGACTAAATTAAATAAATCAAACAAACAACATTTTCAAAAGTGATTAGCAGATCTGATGGTTCAAGCAAGATCTTCCACAGCAAGCATTACAAGAAAGTTGTCTACCCTCAGGATATTCACTTTCAGATAACAACTCTGAAATTTGGAATTTGCTGAACTTGCCTTAGAATTGCATCAGTAGAATCACCCTGAGCTCTGGAGAAATACACTGTAAGCCATCAGCATGACCAGAAGCAACAATAAATCCATTACCTGTAATATTTGCAGCACTGAAGAGTAAAAATATGCTGCAAGACAAATGCAGTGCAAAAGGCAATTTAAAAGGCACTTACGTATATCTGATTGTTCCCAAAACGCTTTTGAATTTCATAAAGCAGGCTGCCATCGTTGAGCTCACTGAGTGTTGCTAGGTCATCATTTGGAGCAGGAGGCATTAGCTTGACCTGGGAGAAAAAATAGAAAAGATCAATTCTAATTGCTTTGCAATCAACTTTCTTCACAGTTGGATGTTCTATTTCAATTACATGTCAAAAGTTTAAAAACCACATGAGTTTGAAACTGTTATTAAAAGATGAAATGGCTCACTTATAAGAAACAAAAAAATTCAACAGTCATAGAAAAATACATTCACATGAGAATTTCTGTTGCGTACCCAAGAGTGCATTCACACACACACACACACACACACACACACACACACACACACACCAAATGTCAGCTTACATCCTCCAAAGACATTAAGTCTATCAAAATCATTTCAGCAGGTTGATCCTGCCTAGTCCCTACTTACAATTTAGACAGCTCTAAACTGTGCTAAGTCCTTTGTGAGACAAGCAGCTGAAAAAACCTCACGTATTTGCAGTGTTTCCAAAGCTAAAGCAAAACTTTCTCAAATTACTGTTGTTGGCATGGAAGCAATCTGCCTGGAATTTAGTTTCTGCATACATCTATGAGAAGGCCAGATTTTTAAAGTAAACTCTAGAATTTTGGCTTGTGATTTTTATTCTGCTTTACAATGCTTTTAATATTAAAGTAGCTTTGAGATTAAGATAATTCTGTCAAGAAAAAATGCTTTCCTATTCAATGTAATATAGAATAACAGTTTAAAAATTAGACAAGATTAAAAATTAAAAAGATAAATTTGTATTATTTAATTAGATTAAAATCTAGCCTTTATAAGTTAAAAATGGCCAATTTTTAACTTTATATACACAGGATATGCTCAGCAAAGCAAATATTAGTTATAATGTGACAACTTTGTTCTTCTCATGTGAAACACTGAGGAACAAAAGAACAAGAATAATCTTATTAACATTTCTATGAGTTCATAGCTATTTTGGTGCCCATAGCTAATATTTTTAAAATATGTTTTTAGTAATTTGAGAGAGAGAGAAACACTGATCAGCTGCCTCCTGCATGCCCCATACCGAGGATTGAGCTTGAAACCAGGGCATGTACTCCCACTGGAAATCGATCTGGTGACCTCTTGGTTCATGGGATGATGCACAACCAATTGAGCCACACAGGCAGAATGCCATAGTTAATTTGTAATAACAGTAAGTTTATTTTTATAATTAGCATTCATATTTGTATTTATATTTTATATTTGTATCATACATTTAACTATTGGATGTACCATCACTAAATAATTTGATCCTAAATATTACTGTTCAGCTAAATGTTTATAGAGTAAAAAATATTACACATTTTTAAAAGCTAAATTTAGGGCTCTTTCCCTGACATGAGTGGTTATTTTAAAAAATGCAATCTTTCCCATGAGTTCTTAAATTCAGATCATGGTTATCCAAGACTGTTAATCCTAATGCATTAATAATAGAAACCCAAATTCTTTACTGAGAATTTCACATACTCAGAAGAGTGGATTGTTATATCTTCCAGTTGGAAGGGAGTCATGGCAGCAGGCTCTCTTACACTGGAAAGACAACCATTTGTATAAGTGGCAAACATGATAATCCAATAAGAACATGTTTATTTATTTAAAATTAATTTGCAAAATATTCCAGACCTCAGAATGTCAGGAACAAGCCTCCTCCTCTCCCACAACATGCACACACTCAGCCAACACCTTCAGTTTATTTTCTGTTTTTTTGTAGGATTTAAATAATAAAACGTCTCAAATATCTTTCAGAATTAACCTACCAAGGACATACTGGTATAACACAGTCTTACTAAAATTAGACATTTAACTTGAGGTTAGAAGCACAGCTTTGAGTCTTTGATAGTGTCAGAAATATGGACTTCCATAGTTCAAGAACAGTGTAAAAACTGGTACTTGCTGCTGAAGAGAAGTCATCATGTCTCAGCTCTCCTAATACTTTCTGGGTTGTCAAAATCAATTCGGGGATTGTGTAATATGTTTTTTTTTAACTTTATATATTTAGTTCCACTTTGAAGAGTCACAGGCCCAAAGTGCGGCCGAGACTAACAGTTCTCAGAGAGGCATGAAAATCAAGCAGTGATAACTGCCTCTGCCTGTCCCCTCGGTGGTTTCCCTTTCTGCTTCTTCAATGGTCATGCTAATTCAGGTCAAAATCTTACACACTGATCTGAGGACTGGAATACTGAAAAATTCAAGTTCATCTAAGCCTAAGACATCAATTGTTTGTATTCATCTGGGAGAATGATGTTTAAATCCCAGGGGTATATATTCCTGTGAGATCTTTTTTTTTAACTTTCTAAAAGAAAAATTTAAACACATTTTACATTCAATATTATTTTGTATTAGTTTCGGGTGTACAGCATAGTGGTTAGACAATCATATACTTTACGAAGTGTTCCCCCTGATATTTCCAGTATCCAATGGGCACCATACATAGTTGTTACAATATTATTGACTGCATTTCCTATGCTGTACTTTACATCCCCATGACTATTTTGTAATTACCAATCTATACTTCTTAATCCCTTCACCTCTTTCACCCGGTGCATGTATACATACACACACAAAATTAATGCACAAATATATACATATCCATGCATAACAAGAGATAAGCCAAAAATATGGCTGCAACAACTTTGAACAATGCAATGATAAGACAAAAGTCTCACACAAGTTAACATTCATATTTAACTCCCAAAGAAATAATAAAAAGAAGAAAAATCAAGAGCAAGATTTGTTTATCTTCGGAAGTAGTAATTTACACTGAGATAATGCTCCTCTGATAACCACAGCTTTAATGAGCTCAACACAAATCTCTGCATGCATATTCAGGAACAGCATGACTAGCACCAACAGAAGCTCCCCATTTGTTCTGACAAGCCTAGAGGAGCTATTACAGACATCTCCCTGGTATTCTTGAGGGTTTTCATCTTCAGTAGCACAGCTGTTGCATGGGTTAGAGAATATACTAGGCGGACAATAAAAATGTGAAGACTCCCTTGTCTGTTTATAGTAACAAACTGTGACAAATACAGTGTTACATTAGATCAAGGGAAGAATTCCTTCAATTTATCATACCAAGATACCAAAATGATTAGGAAGAAAGCTTTGATAATCAATCTTAAGCAAGGTTGTCAAAAAGATACATATTTTATAAAGAGATCAAAAGTATTGTGGCGGCTGATAACAAGTAGAAAGAAGAAGAAAAACATGTCTGTGAATATTTTTATGTTATAGTTGTAAACTCAATAGTGTACACTACCAATGTCTGCCAAATAAGTATTATCATAGTCAAAAAATAGATGGGATAAATATGTAAAATAATAACATCCTCTCTAGAATTCACCATGTTGGTTCTTCTGAAGACATAGAAACTAACCATTATATATCTCCCCACATATATTTCCAAAAGCAGAGATCTAGAACACTAAGTGGACAAAATTCAGGGTACACTTTCAGAAATGTTTCGAGATCCAAAGGAAATGTAAATTGGAAAATATTTTAATTCCCTGATTCCCTGTCTCCACTTGTCAACTCTGCTCTGAGCGCTGTCGACTTTGCTGTGCTGTTCGGTGGCTGGTAATTTTGCTCTGCAGGAAGTTAGTAGAACATACACAGGAACTAGAAGGCCCATGGACAGAAGAGATGGTTTGACAAATGGAATAAGGGCAACAAAAATTGTTGGGAAGGCAGATTAGGAGGAAAGAACCAAGTGTGCATGAGTGAGGAGAAAAAATAAAATAATGATAATAAAAAAAAGAAAAAAACCTAAGTGACTAGTATGGTCATAACAGGGAAAAGGACATTAATCTGATAACACACTTTGTACTGAATCTCCAAAGGCTGAAGCCCATTACGATGCACGAACATCCTTTACCTGTAAACGGCTTTTTCCTTGCCTTTGTTATTCTGTTAGATGTTTCGTAGTGAAATGTATTAGGTCCTTACACTCACTGTGCCTTGTTTGGCTAAGGATTTATATTTTTGTGTCTGTGGATGTTGGTGTATCTGTGGACTCTAGAAAGAGAATTCCCTCCAATCTTTGAAACCCCTATCCTGCCCATGCAGCCATGGAATGCAAACTCTCTCTCCGACTCACAGAAGTGAGCAGCAGGCCAGAGGGAAGAGGAGCCAGAGCTGCACTGTCCTCAGAAGAGCCCTGGCCGCAGAGTAAAAGAAACAGGTGATTCTAGGTCATTTGCTTCTGCTTCTTGAGTTGAAGTTTGGTCACTTTAAATTCAGTTTGAAATTTGAGTATAAGTATTAAAAGTGTGTAATAACTTGCTCACAGTGGTGTTTTGAAGGTTAAAATAATGCAAGTGAAAGCATTTTTCAGCTTTGAAATATTAGCCAATATACAGTATTATTTTGTATTATTATATTCTTAAAAAACCTATATTTACACTGAAAATAAAACCTGGTTGATATGTTGACTTGATTTACAAAAATCAAGAGCAGACAAATTAGTGAACAGAGGATTCAACCACTCTAGCCAAACCTAATAGACAGTCTATACAAATCACAATAAAATAATGAATACGTCTTGCTGAGATTTTATTTTACTCTTGGCAAATGCTGTCACCTGACAGCCTTAATCTTTTGTCTTCTTTCTAACAGCCATATACGGTCAGTGTTATGTATCCGTTTCACAGGCGGGGCTTAGTGAGGTTAAAGAATTTCCATAGTTGAGAGTTCCAGCAGCAGCCCTAAACCAGAACAAATCTGTATGGCTCCATCATTCTCTCTCTTTTCTCCCAGCATAGCATGCCTCACTAAGTGGAATAAAAATTTGACCTAATTTTAAACCTCAACTATTCTCAAAGGAAAGATGAGAGAAAAGACTGTAGGAAGGTAGGAAACTAAAAATAGAATAGAAGAGGACAGGGCATGAGAGAGGAGGGGATAACAAAACAAAATTGGAAAAGAAGGGAAAATGTCTTACAAATTTTAAAGCAACTTTAGAAAAATTCTACATTCTCACAGATATTATAATAGCAATTGTTAATGTTGGTGATTATCAGAACCATAAAAAGTTTAAATCAGCCCAGCCTGCATGGCTCCGGGGTTGAGTGAAGACCTATGAACCAGGAGGTCACAGTTCAATTCTCAGTCAGGGCACATGCCCGGGTTGCAGGCTCAACCTAGGAGGCAGCCTATCAATGATTCTGTCTGATCATTGATGTTTCTATCTCTCTCTCTCTCCATTTCCTTCCTCTCTGAAGTCAATAAAAATATATATTTCAAAAATTTAAATCAAGCCTTGACTATTCATTTATACAGTTACCATTTGACATGACCTACATTTTTCAAAATCCTGGAAGGAGAGACTCTGTGGCCTTTGTTTCAATTCAAAAAATTTTTTCTACATTATGTATTTCTCTTTAAAGTGTTAATCAGAATGTTCCCGCTTTAACAAGTCTTTTCTAAAGCCCTCCTATGGGACATAAATGTATGATCCAGGCAGGATTCTTCCTCTGTTCTTCCTCTGGAAAGAATCACCGATGCACCTCATGGCAAGAACATGTGACAACGTAACGTCCACAGTGGAAGACGTGGGTGAATATTAAATAGATAATATACAAACCTAAAACCTGAATAAGCTATTCCCTCTTTAGTACCAAATAAACAGAATATGGTTACAACCACTTTTCACGTCTAGAATACAATTACAAAGAGCTTATATTAAAAAAGAAAAGTCATTCTACTTATTAAGTATAAAAGGATTATATGTGACATTATGGTATGAATGTCTTCTCATTTTTTTTAAGACCTTAGTTTTTTAGAGCAGTTTTAGATCCACCGCAAAATTGAGAGGAAAGTATAGAGATTTCCCATATACCTCTGGCCTGACACACATAGTCTGCCCAGTTATCCACATCCCCAATGAGTGGTACATTTGTTACTATAGATGAAGCAAATGACACATCATAATCACCCAATATGCATAGCTTACATCAGGGTTCACTCTGGGTGTTGTACATTCTGCGGGTTTTCAAAAATGATAATGACATGTAGCCACAACTATAGTATCATAGGCAGTAGTTTCTCTGCCCTAAAAACCCTCTGTGCTCCTAGTCATTCCTCCTTCACACAATTGCTGGCAACCACTGACCATTTTACTGTCTCCATAGTTTTGTCTTTTCTAGAATGTCAAGTAGTGGAATCAGAATATATGTAGCCTTTTAAAAGTAAATGTTTTCACTTAGTCATATGTACCTAAAGTTACAGGAAGCTCATAAGACCCTTAAGAAAGTTAAGAAACAACTTGGCCTTAAATTTTCCTAACGTTCGATTTGCCTACTGCTATGGACTGCATTGTGTTCCCCCCAATTCATATGTTGAGGCTCTTGCTGCCAATGTGACTGTATGTGGAGACAGAGTTTTAGGAGATAATAAAAGTTAAATGAGGGTATGGGTTAGGTCAGTGGTTCTCAACCTTCCTAATACCGCGACCCTTTAATACAGTTCCTCATGTTGTGGTGACCCCCAACCATAAAATTATTTTCATTGCTACTTCATAACTGTAATTTTGCTACTGTTATGAATCATAATGTAAATATCTGATATGCAGGATGTATTTTCATTGTTACAAATTGAACATAATTAAAGCATAGTGATTAATCACAAAAACAATATGCAATTACATATGTGTTTTCCAATGGTCTTAGGTGACCCCTGTGAAAGGGTCGTTCGACTCCCAAAGGGGTTGCGACCCACAGGTTGAGAACCGCTGAGTTAGGTAGAACCCTGATCCATAGGGTTAGTATCATTATAAGAGTTGCCAGAGAGTTTGTTCTCTCTCTCTCTCTCTCCCTCTCTCCCTCTCTCCCTCTCTCCCTCTCTCCCTCTCTCCTTCTCTCCCTCTCCCTCTCTCCCTCTCTCCTGCCGGGGTCCAACCCCAGCAGGTCCAGGGGTTCCCCAAAGGTGTGGACGGAGTCGGCGAAGAAGGAATGACACGGAGACAGCGTTCAGTTGATCAGCAGCCTAGCCAGGATCTCTAGCCAGGATCTCCAGCCAAGTTCTGGTCTGGATCTCCAGCGAAGTTCTGCTTCAGATCTCCAGCCAGGTTCTGTGTCCATGTTCTCTTGCTAGGTTCTCCAGGTTCTCCAGCCAGGTTCTGTAGCCATGTTCCCTCGCTAGGTTCTCCAGCCAGGTTCTGCCCAGGTTCTCCAGCTGGGTTCAGTCACCAGGTTCTAGTCAGGTTCTCTTGCCAATTTCTGTAGTCAGGTTCAGTCCAGGATCTTTTGCCATGTTCTCTCCAGCGAAGTTCTTCTGTCTCTAGAGAACGTTCTGTGTAGGTTCTGTGCCTAGGTTCTGTCTCTCCTGGTTCCATATTCTAAGTTCTGTCTTATTACATCTGTATTTATACCAGTTGATTCAATCCTATCAATCTCTATTACAAAGGTTAGGGCGTTTCTTATCTCCATTCCAGGAAGTAAAGATTATGTAGCTTAAGCATGATTGTTCATAGTTAAAGTGATTAATTACCCGCCTGGCACTTAGTTAAGAGGTTTTATTCCCTCCCTAACTTCAGGGGAAAATCCCTACCTGGGGAAACAACCTTTCTCAGAGACCTTGGTTAAAACACATAGTGCCAAGAAGGTGAGCAAACATATTAAGAACAGTATGCCATATATGCCAGGTCCCTTGAAACAGCAAGCTTGGACCGGCTCCCGGCTCTCTCCCTCTCTCCCTCTCTCCCTCTCTCCCTCTCTCCCTCTCTCCCTCTCTCCCTCTCTCCCTCTCTCCCTCTCTCCCTCTCTCCCTCTCTCCCTCTCTCCCTCTCTCCCTCTCTCCCTCTCTCCCTCTCTCCCTCTCTCCCTCTCTCCCTCTCTCCCTCTCTCCCTCTCTCCCTCTCTCCCTCTCTCCCTCTCTCCCTCTCTCCCTCTCTCTCTCTCTCTCTCTCTCTCTCTCCCATCTGAGAACACAGTGACAAAGCAGCCATCTGCAAGCCAGAAAGAGGGCTTTCACCAAAAATAGGCTCAGCCAGCACCTGGATTTTGAATTTCCAGTCTCCGGAACGTTGAGAAATACATTTCTGCTGTTTAAGCCACCCAGTTTGTGGTTTTATGTTGTGGTAGCTTGAGCAGATGAATATGCCTAATAAAATTCAAAAGTATTTCCAATGTTTTGCTGTTTTAGTTATTTTAAAATAGAAATTAATGAGATGAAGAAAATTTGAAAAGTCTTTAGAAAACACAGTTAAAATACCTTTAAAATATTCATAGATACATTGAAACAAGACATTTCAAGGATTATTCTACCATTTATAAAATACTCTACCATTTATAAAACACAACACATATACAAATCATTTATTTCTATGAAAATGATAACATAAAATACATTAAATTCTGTAACTCCAAGCATATCAAAATGATCTCACATAACTTGGGCACTGGAATATGCACATATGCACATAGATACATACACAATACAAAATCACAGTTACTTTTAAGAATAAATGATTCTGATTGGTTTGTCTTTCCTCTTGTGGAAAATATTTGGCTATTTGAAGGAAACAATTATTAAAATGATGATCAATCAAAGAACTAGGAATATTCAGGAATTAATATATTGTCTGAGCTTACAATCCTGATAAATAAGTCCAAACTGTAAATTCAAGTCCTAGCTGGTTTTTCTCAGTGGTTAGAGCGTTGGCTCAAGGACTAAAGGGTCACGTGTTTGATTCCAGTCAAGGGCACATACCTCGATTTCAGGCTCAATCCCCAGCCCCAAAGCGTGTTTGGGAGGCAACCAATCGATGTGTCTCTTTCACATCCATGCTTCTCTGTCTCTGTCTCTCTCCCTCCCTTCCATTCTCTCTAAAAAAATCAATGAAAAGGAAAAAAATATCCTCTGGTGAGAATTAATTTTTTAAAAAGACAGTAAATTTAAATATTTCTAAAACACAATAGCAGTATGCTTGTTAATGGACAGTAAAACACAATAACATTTCATAAATAAAAATTTTAAAATACTAACCTATGCTTTCACTAAAGTTTCTTTGAATGGAAATCAGTGGGTATTTGTTTTGGGACATAACAGGACACAATACTAGCAGATGCACATGGGGTGTAATTACCTGCTCAGGTTTGGTGGGGCCATTCACAGTGGAGCTTTCAGGAGAGCTGTCCTGGAACTGTTTCTTGCATAGGCCTTTTGTTGCATCTTTAAACATAATGTCTTTTTCCAACAAACTGTCTTGCTTGGCAATTGGCCACACCAGGGGACTGCTACAGGAAATAATCAATACTAAAATTAGTCTTCTTCCAACATGGCTATATAAATCAGAAATTACCACGACAGGACATTTCAATTATAGATAGTTGTTTTATTCAAGAAGGAAACAGTTTCTCAATACTGTAGGAAAAAAAACACAATGGGAAATCTGTAAGCCTTTCTACTAGCTCTGAAGTTCATTCAATTTCACATTGGAAAGAAAAATATGTTCAACTTGAGAAGAATATATCTACAAATGTTAATAGATAAATCAATAAGCAATTTAAAAGCTAAGGTTGACACACCTGACTAAACTAGGAAAGATATTTCAATGTGAAACTGAATAACAAACAAGTAAAGGCAAAACTATACAATTAATTAAAATGCTGTACATATAGGATTTAAAATATAGCATTGTGGGCAATAGAGTTTGTAACTAAATAACAATAGGGTACTAAGAGAGAAGTGATGTGCATAAGATTGCAATATTAACAAAATAATGTTTTATTATTTCTATACAGCTCAATCTAGCCAAAAAATAAAATAAAAGATACTTCATGGTTTTGTTATGCTATAGACTGCATTGCCCAAAGAAATGCTGTAACGTTCATAGAAAATAAACACATCTAAAAGTTGAATTTCATTATAACATTTTTATATTTAGATTTTAAAATATATTTTCCTAAATGTTATCATACAAGCAGAAATACATATATAGGTAATCAGATGCAATATATGTAAACCTAATTATTTCATGTAGTCTACAATAGTAGTTGCAGTTCTAATTGAAGCATAGTGCACCTATTTTGGCTTTTTAAAAATTCAAGTTTCTTGAGTTATATTTACATACAGTAAAACTCACACATTGTAGAGTTACAATCAATATGTTTTGAATTGTATATATACATTTAATGGTGTGACCAACATAATCAGCAATACATAGAATTTCTATCACTCCCCTGTGTCTTTTTGTGATCACACTTCAAAGTCAACTATCCTCCTTTGCCTCCTGGCCCTTGCAACCACTGGTACTTATTGTTGCCTTTTCCAAAATGTCATATGAAAGCGGTCAGAGTGTGTAGACTTTTGTGTATGACTACATTTAACTAGCAATGTTTTTTGAGACTCATGTTGCTGCAGATAGCAAGAGCTTCGTTTTTATTGCTGAGTAGTATTCTACTGCAGGATGTACTACACTTTGGCTAACCATTCACCAAAGATTTGGGTTGTGTCCAGTTTTTGTCAATTGTGAGTGGAGCGTCTAGACACATCCATATGCAGGCGTGTGTGCAGACAGATGCTTTCACTTACCTTGGTTAAATATCTAGGAAAACCACACAGTTTCCAAAGTGGCTGTCCCACTTGGCACTTCCCAGCAATATGTGGGAGTTTCACCTGCTTCACATCATTGCCAATATTTTTTTTCTTACTGAATTTATTGAAATGACATTGGATAATAAAAGTACCAATACTTTTTGAAAATCCATTCTAGTAAGCGTGTCAGTGGCTTTTCACTGTGGTTTTACTTTGCATTTCAATGTGCTTATTTGACAAAAGTATGTCTTCTTTGGTAAAGTGCATGCTCAAGTCTTTGGACTATTTTTCACTGGTTCTTTGTTGTCAGGTTCTTGAGTTTATATATTTGGATTCAAGTCCCTTATCATATACCTACTTGGCAAATATTTTCTCCCAGGCTGTGTCTTATCTTCATTTTTTAAAAAATATTTTGTTAGTGATTTCAGAGAGGAAATGAGAGAGAGAGAGAAATAGAAACATCAATGATGAGAGAGAATCAGTGATTGCCTGCCTCCTGCATGCCACCCACTGGGGAGTGAGCCTGCAACCCAAGCATATGCCTTAAACAAGATTCAAACCGTGACCTCCTGGTTTACAGGTAGAAGCTCAACCACTGGGCCATACTGGCTGGGCTGTCTTCAATTTTTAATAGTATGTTTTAAAGAATTTTTTTCTCTTATGGTCTATACTTCTTATATCTTATTTAAGAATTCTATTCTGAACCCAAGATGAACATGGTTTTCTCCCAGGTTTTCTTCCAAAAATTTTAGATTTTTATGTTTTACATTTAGGTCTATTATTCATTGCAAGTGCCTTTTTTGTATATGGTGCTATATATGAGTTGTGGTTCATTTTTTTTATATATGGCTGTCCAAATGTTCTAGCATCATTTCTGAAAAGAACAACTTTCTCCAACCAATTACCTGAACATCTTTGTTAGAAATCAATTGACCATACATGTGTGGGTCTATTTTAGGACAATCCATTGCATTCCATTGATATAATAGTCTATTCTTACACCAATATTATACTGTTTTGATTAATGAACCTTCAGAGTAATGCTTAAAATCAGGTAATGTGAGTCTCCAACTTTTCCTTTATAAAAATTATTTTGAATATTTGTGGTTATTAGCATTCTTACATAAATTTTAGAATCTATTTGTCAGTTTTTATAAACATGCCTGTTGGGACTTTGATTAGCATTGCATTCATTTGATAAATCAATTTGGGGAAAATTTACATGTTAACAATGTTAAATTTTGTCATTCCTAAGCACATGTATACTTCTCCATTTATGTTGATCTTCATTAATTTCTATCACCAATATTTTATGGTTTTACGTCATTAAAATCTTACAAGTAATTTGTCACATTTATTCTAATATATTCCATGTTTTTATGCCACTGTAAATGTATCTTTAAATTTCAGTTTCCAGTTGCTGATTGTTAGTATGTAGAAATATAAACAATTTGGTATCTTAACCTTGATAGGGAGGAAGAGAGGAATTTGAAGGGCTTCTTTCAGTAGTCACAATGTCTCACTGTTTTGCAGCCCATCTCTATGCTCTGTCATCCAACTCTACTGTAATCTGGGAACGCATGAGTAAAGACACACTCATAAATGGCCACATTAGAGCCAGGTCTAGAGGAACAGCAGAAGCAGCTAAAGAACACATTTACAGAAATGTGAAATCAGTTTTATTTCCTTTAATCTCTGAATGATGATGCTTTAAAGTGTTTGAGTCAATGAAGATATTTTCAAGTAAGTGTGGGGGACACATATTAAAAAGAGGCAGCATGATGGTCTAGTATAGCTGCAACAAGCATATGTTTTTGAGTCAGAAATTCTACACAGTTCGATGTCTGGCTGTGCCACCTTGGGCAAGTTATAAAAGCATTCCACAAAACCAATCTGTAAAAAAGGCTTGTAGTGGGGGATTGCTAACATAAAGCACATAAAGGGCTGAGCACAATGACTATGGTAATAGCAGGCAATAAAGGTACCTGCTATTTATATGTGTCCAGAACTGTGATGCTTCTGGGATTTTACTCTACCTACAAGCTCTTACAGGTTAGCTTGCTACTCTCTCATGGGTGGTGCAGAAGACAAGAGATTCCTGGATCACAGACAGAAAACTTTATTACTCACAGCAAACACAGTATCCAGAGCTTCATGTTTGCCCAAATTCTCCTTGCCCCCTGTCCCATAAAGGACAGGAGTGGGCAACACCAGTGGACTTAAATGGATGCCTATGCAAGCAGGGTGTTGTGTTGTAGGAGAGAAACCTAGCAAAGAGTCAAGTACTTTTTTAAAAAATATACTTTTATTGATTTCAGAGAGGAAGGGGGAGTGAGAAAGAAACATCAATGATGAGAGAGAATCATTGATCAGTTGCCTCCTGCATGCCTCACACTTGAATTAAGCCTGCAACCCGGGCATATGCCTTGACCAGGAATCGAACCGTGATCTCCTGGTTTAAAGGTGGATGCTCAACCATTGAGCCATGCTGCCTGGGCTCGAGTAGTTTTTGAGCAAGCAGCAAACATTGTACCAAGCAGAAGACCAGCCAGTGCCCTCCTCTGGGGGTGAGTGCTATGGTGTCTGTGAACTACTTAGTCACCTGTCTGACTATGTACCTTGCAGTCTAACAAACTGAGCAAGAGTGTGGAAAGTGCCCAGGGCACATATCCTTCCCGGTAGTAAGCTTATTAATTTTAAAAATTCACTGTAAAAAGAGAATGTTATAATGCTTATAAAAATTTCATATCCAGATCTTTTTGAATCTAGTGATAAAATACCCATAGCTCCCAAAGAAGCCTTATTTCTTCCATGAGCAATTTTAGAACAATGCCTGTCTGCTCAAACTTGTATTCATCATTTTTAGGGCTCCCAAGAGTGTCCCTTATGCTTCTTTGACAGGAGAGCCTTTTAGATATTTGAAGACAGTTGTGGGTTTTCCTAAATTTTCTATAATTTAAGTGAGCTACTGCAAAACATTAAATAATTATGTGGTATTTAATGTGTGTAGTCTAAGTACTCTACACATATTCACTCTTTATTTGAAAACAACATTATAAAGTAGGCACTATTTTTATATCTATTCATAGAGGAGTAAACTGAGGGCCACCTAGAAGAACTTGGTCTGGACACATAGCGTGCAGTAGTTGAGTTGAGATTTGAGCTCCAGAGCTTGTGTCCTTAACCACCGTGCCACACTGCCTACACCTAAAAACCCACCCTCACATCTATAAAATATTTCCTCCTATATCTTTCCTTATCTAAATAATCTCATTTTTTTCTGGAGATTTAAAGAGGTTTTGCATATTAATAAAGCAGCGGTTTGATAGTTCGGTTAGAAGCTAGAAAGACAGTTCATTAAATACAAACAATCACCAATTTTAAAGGATTTATAAAAGGAAGAAACAGTGAGTTTACTACAATAACAGAGAGCTACAGTAGGAAAGAAGATTGATCCAGGAATACAGCCACCTACTTTCAAGTCCATTTTTACCTCAAGTTGGCCTGACCATGTGAGGCAGCGGTTCTCAACCTGTGGGTCGCGACCCCTTTGGCGGTCGAACGACCCTTTCACAGGGGTCGCCTAAGACCATCCTGCATATCAGATATTTACATTACGATTCATCACAGTAGCAACATTACAGTTATGAAGTAGCAACGAAAATAATTTTATGGTTGGGTCACAACATGAGGAACTGTA